CAGCCGGGATCAGCACGCCAGGAATGTGCGCCAGCCTTGCGTATTTCGATACTTACAGGCGTGCTAGGCTGCCTGCAAACCTTGTGCAGGCACAGAGGGACCTGTTCGGGGCACATACGTACGAGCGGGTTGATCGCCAAGGCGCCTTCCACACAGAGTGGACAAAGCTTGCTCGCAAGGCTGATGCTGGTGTTGGCATTCTCAACTGAGATTTTGAGCTGCCTGCCTTCCCTTGTGGTTGGTTTTCTTTCTCTTGCCTCATCAATTGGGTGCAAATTTCTCGCTTGATTTTTGCTTGCCCATTTCAAAAGTTGTAGTTTTACTTTTTGTATCACAATCTTGACAGTCTTTCCATGCTTCTTAGGGAGTAGATAGCAGATATATTTTACTGGCCTAAAGTATTTGCTATGAATAATAATTAATAAGGAAAAAAAGAAAACAAAAAAAAAATGTAGAAGGAGAAGCAAGCATGGCCCTCGTGTTAGTTCTTTTCACATCTCTTTGTTGTGCAAAATGAAGAATTTCCATTTCGTTTAATCTGTCTTTGAAATTGGAATGAAAATAATTCTACCATTGATGTTGGGTAAATATTGGAATTCTGATTTCGTCCTTGAAGTTTTTTATTATTTCAATTGGGTGCCTGATCATTGATAATTAAAGTGGGTTTGGTGATTTCTTAGATTGTTTTCTAAGCATATCTTAAATTTTCAAATATTATGCAACATTGAAAAGTACGCATAATTAGTTAAATATTTCTCACTAGCTTAAAAGTTATGCCAAATGCACTTTTTTAGTCCTCAAGTTAATGGTTAACTTTTTGGATATGGTTTAGAAAATTGAGGTAAATAAGAGGATTTTAGAACAACCTTATTATTAAGGTGTTAATTTGCTTCGAATAAATTAATATACTCACTTTGACTTAGTCATTTTTTGCTCCTGTTCTTATTCCATGCCATTAATCGAGTTAAATATAAGATGTAAATATGGAGTCCTATGAACTCCCTTCAAACGAAATTCGTCTTGATCGAGATATTTAAATATATAAGGACTAAAATGAAACTAGGAAGGATGAGTGAAATGATAATAGAGTTAAAATGGGATATGATTTTTAAACTTCGCTATCGATCAAACAACCCATTAAATCAACTACTCTTTGTTCCAAACTTGTTCTTACCAGAATTTGTAGAATCATATGCTTTTATGAACTTACTTTTAGAACTATATTTGAATCTAAATGTGTGATTCTTTTTAAAAAATGTATTATATTACAAATCAAGAGACATTGATTCAACCCCAATATAATTGAAATATCATGTAGGAGAGAGATAACGAAAGTAACAAAAAAAACAAAAAAAAGGTTGGAAAGTGAACAAAATTAAGGCTCATGGAAAACTTGAATTCTCAAGAACTGGCAATGTTCTTGTCACAGCTGCACTCGGCATTTTGCTGCTCCCAACCCATCTACTCTGAAGAACCAAATCTTCATCGGCCTGTTTCTCCATTATCTGAATCTTCTTCGTCTTCAAAGCTCTGATCGAAACCATGGCGGCATATCCAGCCACCACCATCCCACTAACGCCCAAAACAAACCCAATCACCCACAAATACCAACTCGTCTTCTTCCTCTTCAACTTTGAAACCACTGCAAAGTAGCCCTGTTTTCTGGAGTAACACACGTCCGGGGAGCCCATTTGGGTCAGATGAAACGCACCATTTTCGTCGAACTCTGCGCACCTTGTGTTCGACGATTTGCCTGAAGGGAATTTCAGGTCGCGGAAGTGGATTTCTATGGGGTTTTCCTTTGTGTTGATGCTGAGTTTTGTGATGTTCTTGGGTTCTGTGTTTGATGATGCGTTGAAAACCATGAATCCAACGACTGGAGTTAGCAGTGAGAAGCCTGGAATTCTGAAGTAGGAGGCAGACCAGTTGCCGAAATCTTGGTACACAATTACCATTCTTCTAACGTGCGGCACCGGCAAGGTGTTCGATGGAATGCCAAAGTGACTGAAATTAGCTCCTTTCTCCCACAGCCTCCGGCTTCTTAGCCGGACGACCGACACCTCCATGCCGGAGAGATTCGCCGGGAGGCTGGCTCGGTATAAAGCACCCGTGTAAGGCCTGCGTCGAACCAGGGTCTTGAAGGCAGTTTCTTGAAGAAAGGCATCCATGGAGATGGAGTCATTCCCCTGCAAGCTGTGGACAAATGGGCAGAAAGTGAAAGAGAGAGCCAGGAAGAGGAAGTTCCAGTTCATGTTGGTCACCATTTAGAGGTAAAGAAACAAAAATTCAGGGTGCTTTGAGAATTTCAGTTCTGTTTGCTACATTGACATCAAAAAATATGCTGAAACAGAGAAAATGAGGGAGAATGGAGATGGGTGAAATGATTTGGTGGGTATCTTTAGAAATTTCATGTTTGTTCTCTATGGATGATGATGGGGTTGCTGTTTTTGCTTCAAGGAGAGCAAGCATGCCAAAAAATGGGACCCCAAGAGGAGACAACAAGAGGCTGGAATTATGGATAAAAGGGTCAGTTTGGATTTCTTTTTTACTTTGTAAAAGCAGAGAACTTTCGTTTCTCTCACTTTATAAAGCAATGAGCTTTTGGTATGGAAGAGAGTGGGAAATCATGCACAATACTTGGACAAAGTTTTGATTGTTCTAAGGTATTTGAGTATTGGTTGTGAACTGTGATGTTGTTTATTACTTATTATGTGCTTTGGTTGATAAATTTTATGTTATTTATTTTCTTAATCAATTACTAAAATAAGGAGTCAATATGTCTAAGTTGCTTTAAAGTTGGAGGTTGGATCTCCGTGTAAGTACGGTTGTATTTAGGTTTTTCTTTTTCTTTAAAAGTTTTTTGGAACAAAGCGAAGTAATTAGAGTTAAGTTGTATTGTAACTCGTCAATCTAATCATGGTTCAGTGATAAGACATGTATTTATCATCTCGACGGTCGATGGTTCGATCCTCTATCCTGCAATTATTGAATTTTAAAAAAAAATTGCACTGTAACCCACATGTATTTTTAAAAATAATTTCAGTACTTCTATAATTTTGTAAATTTGTAAATCATATTCTTTCATCATTAATTTGAATAGAATTAGTACACGTGTAGGATGAACTCTATAACCAATTTGGCCATGGTTTTTAAATTTTGCTAACCAAAGGGGAGAGATTGTTTAAAACTATTTGCAAGATTATAATTTTCAAAATAAGTGAACCATTTGTAATTATCACTCAAATCAATTGAAATACAAGTAGAGGATAAATAAAAAAGTTCAGATCCCTTTGGAAAACAGGTAAGAGATTTGGCCAAGAAATGGATTGAAAGACTTTTGTGCAACACCATCAACAATAAGCATTGATTGCTCTCCTAAATTGAAGGAAATTTGGCTTTGGCATTCAAAAAAATTGTACAATTTGCTTCCTTTGTTCTTCCATGTCATCATTATCATGATAATGATGATTCCGAGTAAAGTGTCAATTAATTTAAGTACAATGATACGTGAAGATGAAAATTCGAATCTACGATATTTTGATCRGAAATATATGTCTCAACTAATTGAGTTATATTCATGTTGGTTAAATTAACAAATTAATAGTATCATTATCATAAGAAATGTATTATATTTGAAAGATAGCTAGTACATTATTCACTAAGTATATTGAGATCTATAAATTTTCTCAAGTACTTTAATTTTCGGTGTAAATTTTTATAAACTTATTAATTTTTATGTCACGTTAGTTTATTATCAATCAATTTTAATATCACCAACTATGAGCACATAATTAATAAGTGTTAAAACGTAAATTAATGAATTAAAACCTTTTTGAATAACATAGACTAAATTGAAGAAACATAGAGCTAACACAGATATTAGAGTGTAGAACCAAAACACTAATTGAGACTGAGGATATTCATGGGTTGATTTGGGTTAAGGTACTTTTTAGATCCAACTCAAATTTGAGTTGTAAATTTATTCAACTCAAACAATCCTTATTAAATAATAAATCGAACCCAATCAAACTATAAAATATTTGGATTGAATTGATTCGAGTTATTTAGCTCACTTATTTGAAGTATTATATATTGTCTAACATTGAATTAAGATCCATAAGTCGAGTTTATTTATAAAAAGAAATAGTACACTCCAAAAACTTTAAAATTTGTTTTAAAAAACCGCCATAAAATAAATAATTCATAAGGAATTATAATTTTTATGGTGAGTAGAAGAAATAATTTTAAAATTAATAGTAAGTTCGGGTTGGTTCAATTCAACCTAAATTTATTTTAGACGAATTCTTAAATCAGCTCAATCCATAGAATTTTTTATTTATTTAAACCTAACCTAACTCGAACAAGATTATAATCCAACAAAAACGTATGAATTGGGTTGAGTTTGATAGCCTTTTTTTTCAGGTGATTTAGTTTTTGGAAAACCCCTGCTTGAGATAGGTAATTCTAATTATTATGAAATAAGAAATATATAATACAATAAAATTTTGAAATTTGGGCTGGGATTTTATTTTATTTTCACTAAAACCCTTATTTTTCAGCCTACCCACCCCTCATTCTCACTAAACCCTAGAAGCTTGCTTCACGCCTCCACCGCCGCCGCCCCCGCCGCGGCGCTAGCCACTGTGAGCAGGAACAGAATCACCATTATCTTCTTTGATTGGTCCAAGCCGCAATTCCGCCGACACACGGGCCACACTTCCTGTGATCGCAAGCTGCACCGCCTCGAACAACACCTTCTCCGCCGCCGCCGCCCGAAGTTCCTGCGTGCATCGCCGCAGGTTGGTGAGCCTGCAACATGCATAGACGATCCCTCGGGCCACCGCCGCCGCCGCCGCCGCCGCCACCTCCACGTTAGTACCGTCCGCCGCGATATCAGGTATTTGCTTTTTAACCGATCCATCGGTTCGGTTTTAATTTAATAACGGTCGGATTGGGTTGCTTTTTCTCGAGAAAACGGAGGTGGGTTCCCGCCGTTTTTTGTATATGGTTTTTCTTTAATATAGCTTCTGCACTAGCACTCTCTCGGTACTCGGTAGTTTTTCCCGCCCCCACTGTGCTCGCGCATCAACTGTTAGAGAATTTTAGATTTTCAACTAACTTCTGAACCCGTGGAACGTTGCTTCGAGGTCGGTGGAAAATTTTCTTTATTCCGGGACTGTGAAATTTTTGAGAGCGTTTCTCGGTTCTCAGGTTCATGACAAGGAAAACTGGGCCTTGAACATGGTACTCCCCCCATAAATTTAATTTAAATTCGAGTCCATTTGTTAGTTCTTAATCTGGGTTTGTTTCTTTCACCTCATAACTTTCAAGGGATTAAATTTACCTTTTCTCCTCCATTGTGATTATGAGGAACAAGCGACCATTTTTTTTTTATTGCTCATGTCACATTATTTACCCGTTTCCATGTCTTCTACTCTTTTTACTTGAGAAAGTCTACGAACAATGAGATTCCAGGCAGCAGAGTATAAAATGCCCATCCATCCATCCTTTGTGGAATTCATTAATTTGAATTAGGATTTATGGCTCTTTCTTCATATTTTTGTAGCTTATAAATTATAATTTCCTTTTCTGATGGTTAATGTTTTTTTTCTTCAAATAGTTTGTCTGCTTGTAGGTACCCCCCTCTACTTTTTGATCAAACTTGTATCGAAATCTTTTTGAAACGATTGCAGGTAAGAAGCACTAAAGCACGTGAAACCACTTCTTTCTGATAGAGTAGCGGTGAAAGTTGTGGGATATCCGTTGAAACATCCGGATGGGGGAGAAAGTCATTACTGCTAGTGGCATGGACAGATCAATTCCCAGAAATATCAATGTGCGTAAGTTTGTAGAACCTCGAGCATCTGAGCTGGAAGCTCTTCAATCCATCATTTGGAATCGGATGAATACTGATATTTGTGATCAAAGATCAAAGAGGAGAAGAACTTCTTCTTATTTAACTAATGCTTCAAGGAAAAGGAAAAATAAGAAAATGAGATTGGACAGCAACGATATTGATTTGGAGAAAGGTGAGAAGAAGGCTTCTCGAAAAAAACGTCGCAGAGCTGAGTTTAAAATGAATTCTGGAACTGGATTTTCTACTTCTGGGGATGGCACCAAAAGGCTCAGAACACATGTTTGGCATGCTAAGCGTTTCACTATGACTAAGCTTTGGGGTTTTCACCTCCCTCTGGGGTTGCAAGGCAGGTAATGCTTTACTTTTTCTTGTTCAACGTTTTTAAAATCCGAGAAGAAGAAAAAGGAAATAGAATTAATTTAATTGCTGATCTTAAAATGTGAATGATTTTTGTGGTTGGTTGGATATTGAAGAGTGCAGGTTTATAAGTCTAAATGCTTTTGTTGATTCAAGCTTTGACAGCTACCTTGTAGTTATTAACAAGGTGTATAAACTATGGACTCGTCAGTTATTCAAGAAAAAAAGAAAAAGAAATGTTGGAACGTTTTTCTTGTATTTATATTCTTAAATTGATGAATCATCAAGGATTTGAAATTGGACCATAAATCTATTTTATTAATATGGTTTCTTTTAATTTTTAAGAATTTTCTATGTGTAAAGGATTATTACATTTAAGAGTTTAATGCGCTAGAAATGACATCAAGCTTCTATTATGCAGAGGTAAGGGTTCTAGAGCTCTTTTGAAACGGTACAAGGATGGAGTGCTTATACATGATGCTAGTTATTACGTTGCCATACAGCTGGAGGGTCCAGGGGTTGGAAGTTCCTTTCCTTTGCGCCTTCCAATTTTTCATGAGAACAAGATTTTTTAATTTTTAATCAGTTATGCTTTCCTTGATCATTTGTAATCTAAAGGCTGCTGTCATGTGCCTACAGGACTCTTTGATTTCGGTTCTAAGAATGGTGTTGGTACCATCCACAGTATCTCATTCTCAAGACATTTCCCGTGCCATTATTTCTGGTGGCATTTATGGTAGAGCAATTGTATGTCATCTGGTTAACATTATCACTGGTTGATGAAAGCAAGTAATTGGATTATGTACTTTCTTAATACTTTTTTCTTTTGCAGCTGCATGATGTCAGAGCCCCAGGTGCTAATGCAATTGCTCCTGTAACATATATGTGGCGGCCATGTCCCTGTGGGAATAAAGAATTCAATGTTGATAATCACAGTGGCAGTGTATTTAAGACAATAGACTGCATAGACACGCCTTCTACTACACGCCGGCTTTGGATTTGGTTACATGCTTCTGCTTCTAGTGAAGGATATGATGCTCTACAATTCGCTTGCCAAAAAGAGGTAAATACTGTGTTTATGTCCACGAAGAATAAGATAGTTCAAAACGCAGAGTGAAGCTCCCAAAATTGTTCCCATCTGGTAGGAATGAGAACAAAACATTCATTTTTTTTTTATTTTTTTTTATATCCATGTGTCTGGGCCAGCTTACATGCACCTCGACTATTCACGGGCCAATCGCCTGACCTTATGACATTTGGTTGACAAGAAAACTCGTAGGATATTAAATCCTAGATAGGTGGCTACCATAGTTTAAACTCATTTCCTCTAAGTCCTTTGCTATTTACATTGGCCCTCATTGACCACTTGAGCCATTCCATGATGGTTAATGAGAACAAAACATTCTATAGATCACTGCAAACGGAAGGGAGCAACAGAGAGTCTCCCCACTTTTCTAAATGAGCTCAACTCCAAATAAAGTTTTTCCCTACTCCTAGACTTCAATCTCTTTTGTTCCGTTTCTTGTGTCATGAACAATCTCCAATCCCCAGCAACTAATTTTGACAACTCGCTGTTTAACTGATGCAAACAGTACATTATATCTGGCAAACTTCTTATTTTCCTGCTTTTTGCCTCACATTTTTGTTATGGTTCTAATAAGGCGTATTTGAGGCCTAGCATGCTCCGAAAGTGGAATGGAAATATTCCTCATTCTACTTGTTTGGAATGGAAATGGCTCAACTTAAGCTCATCACCTCATTTTCAGTTTACTCTAAGTGCATCGCATTTATGTTTATTTATCTACTTGTTTTGATTGATGTTGATTGCTATGTTTCTGTGATGTTGACTAATATTTTAGAGGTTTTATAATTAATAAATTGTGAGTATGTGAGAGTCCTATTAGGGGTATAAGGGAATAGTATCAGTAATATAGTTAAGGGCATTATAGTAATTAGTTAGGAGTAAGTTTGTTATAAATAAAAGTAGCAGGGAGGGAAGGAAGATATCTTGGAGAATAGTTTTGTGTAAGGAACTTGAGAGAGTTCTTGGGAGAGAAATAGTCCTCTCGAAAGGCTATCGATATTGTAGTTTATCTTTTAAATTGCAATATAGTTATCTAGTTAGGTTCTTGTAATTTGTTAGGTACCTGAACTTATCTTGCCCATATGCCTTTGAAACTGAAATGAAATGGGCGTTATCCAATTTATTTAAATGTGGCATGTCCAAACAGCTGTGATTTCCCCAGCCCATGTCCCTTGACACTTCTTACTGCAGAAATATTAGTGCACAAATATTTACAGCCCCTGTTTTCTTCCCTAACATTCTGAAACACAGGCGGCGGCGCTACCATTCTTGCAACTCCGTCCACTCCTTCCGGCCACTCCGACAATCGCCGGTGAAGTCGTCCACCCATTCTGTTTCTCTTTTCTCTTTCATTTTCGTCATTATTTTCCACTTTTCCCGAACTTCACAGGTACTCAATCCCCTTCCCCTTTGGTTTTTCGTTTCTTGCCGTAGAACCAACCATGGTCGACCTCTCTTCCAACATCCAACCTCCATCACAAATTGTATCTTCTCTGTTCTCTCGTGCCCGATCTTTGCATTTCGTCGTCGATCTCTTTCCAATCGCATCCAAGCCTTCCTTTCTGACATTCGTTCTCTCTTCTTTTTCTGCTTCTTTATCGAAAACCTCCCTTGCAAATCAGATTCAGCCATCTTCGGGCTCGTGCTCCTCCTTCTTGGATATTCGATTTCTTCTTCGCTCTTCCTTTTGCGATTTAGTTGTCGTTGCATTCTTTCTCTCCTCCTTAGCCTCTTCATACTCTGTTGAGGGCAGTTTATCTCCTTCGTTCTCGAAGAATCCCTGCACGAAGACATTCCTTCTCGTCGGTCGATTTTCCATCGAACTCCAATCCAAACTCTTGGATACGATCGTCGCCTTTCAGCAACCTTTCGTCCTTGCTTCTGAATGCTCGTCTTGGCTACTTCTTCCCTCCTTAATGTCCTTTTTTCCTCTCTGACCGTAATGCTCTCTGCAAGCCTATTCTGCAGTTCGTTGCATATTTGAACCATTTCCTTCGAATTATCCATCATTTTTCACACATTCCCATCATTTCTTCACACATTCTCTGTAACTTCATTCTTGTCTCGACTGATAGATTCATCGCCAGGATGTACTTGCTCTGATACCAATTTGTTAGGTACCCAAATACAAGAACCTAACAAGATAACTATATTGCAATTCAAAAGATAAACTACAATATCGATAGCCTTTCGAGAGAGCTATCTCTCTCCCAAGAACTCTCTCAAGTTCCTTACACAAAACTATTCTTCAAGATATCTTCCTTCCCTCCCTACTACTTCTATTTATAACAAACTTACTTCTAACTGATTACTATAATGCCCTTAACTATATTACTAATACTGTTCCCTTATACCCCTAATAGGGCTCTCACAGAGTCTAACACCGACCAGTATTATGGTATGTTTGACAACTGTTTAAAATAGAAAATAAATAGTGTTGAAAAGCTAGATAGGTTTTGGGTTGTTGCACTTTTCATTTGGATAGTTACCCCACCCTGTACCCAAGCAAATTAAGCTGATTGGAGAGTATTTTTAGATCTATTGGCTCTTAGGCTTAGAGTGGTTATTTAATTCTTCTCTTGTATATTTTTCAATTTCGATGCCATGATTTTCTCGATAAACAAGGAACTGAAAGTGAACTTAGTATGTTGAAAATATATTTACTCCACACTTAGTTACTGAGCCTGAGGTCTTGTCTTTTCTCTTTTTACCCAGATGGATGAGAGAAATATCTCAATTGATTGTTCTTCATTAGAAGGTCAGCTTGCAAAATTGGAAGTATTTGGCTCAAATGCATCCCAACTACTTGAAAAGATTTTGCATCCTATTGCACGGTAGAAGCACATCTTATCTTACTTTAATAGATGGAGATAGTTTCCATATTGACTAATTTTACTTCTACAGGGCTTCACAGAATCTTTGGCAGTTAAAGAAGCACTCCAGTGGGGGTTCTGAAGGTGACTCTCATTTGAAGATATTTTCCAATCTTGAAAATGAGAGTTACATGCCATCTCATGAAATTGTATCTGTCACTCTCAAGGATCCTCGAACTCTACCAAAGGAAAAGATTGCAGACGTTCAAGATTCAACTTCAATGCCTAAACCTGCTGATTTGTCGACAACTTTTTCTAAAGATATTGAAATTTCAAGCAATAATGAAGTGTCGCTATCATCTCTAGACTCAAGAATCAACAGAGACGGGTTTTCACCCGAGAACAAGGAATTGTGGGATGCCAATAGTGGAATGAGGCCCCCTGTGGAAGATACTGTTATTTGTGCATCAAGACATGAGACACGGATGAATCATTTTTGCATCGATGAACCAACTGCAGAGATGTCGAAACATTTGAGCCCATTGCAATACTCCAGTACTTGCCCCGCATTGCTTTTAAATGAGAACGAGGAAAGCAGTTCACTTGTAAGGTAGCCTATTTTTCATGATTTTGTCAATTCCATCACTGAGATTGTTATTTTCTCTTTCTTTGTTTTTTTTTCCTAGTACAATGCTGTGATTGTTATTGAGGGTAAGGAATTTGGTTGATTTTTCTTCTTTCAGTTCTGGTCAATGTTTACATGCTTGGTTTCTGATGATTAAACCAGTACATTGCTTTATCATCTTATTCTACATGATTGATCAAACATCTCTTTTGAATTGAATGAATGAACACCAAGTATGATGCATATGTAAATGTTCTGTCATACGCTTTTAGACTATTCTTCCCCTTGTCATCAGTTTTTATTACAAAATGGGATTTGGGGCTCTGAGAAAGAAATGTCAATTGTTTAGTAGATGCCAGATGGTTCTGCTTAAAATTTTATTCCGCATTGATTGGTTTGCTCTCAAGTATGACGACAAGCCTTATTTCCAACATCAATTAAGACGAGCTTTTATTAAGCAACAAAACGATTGTGTCCTGCTAAAGGTCTTTTTTACTGACGAGTATCAGTATGTGAAGGTTTTTTTTTTTTTTTTTTTTTTTTTTTTTTTATTTGAATGGGAAGGTTTGTTGTTCTCATTTAGTGTTATAATTCTTTAAAAACTTGAATAAATCATATTAAGATACCAATTTCACTAGACATTTCCACCCTTTCGCTATGTTTGTCTCATAAGACTTGAGTTGATTTCTCTTTCTTTGTTGTGTGTTTTTATGGATGATGATAATGCGAGACCGGTCTTTTAGTTTACACATACTGTAGTTCATCGAGGGCATTTAATGATAGCAATGCATTTCTACGTCATATTTCAGATGGTCTATCATACTTCCCATAAGTTGGGTTAAGGCATTTTGGATTCCGCTAATATCCAGGGGCGCTCGTGCAATCGGTTTGAGGGAGAGACACTGGATATCATGTGAAGTAAGTAACGTTTCAATACTTTTTATCTTTTCTTTTCAGTTAGGCCCCAGTTGTAGAAATCACATAATTACTTCTCTCTATCTCCCTTTCCTTACATTGTAGGTGGGATTGCCATCATTTCCTTGGGATTTTCCTGATTGTGCCGCCTACTCGCGGTTCATGGCAAAAGAAGCTACTGCAGTTGATAACAAAGCTGAGTGTTCTAATTTCATTAAAAGACCTTTTAAGATTCCAATTCCACCACCATGGCATAGTGTCCAGTTGACTCTTACCAAAGGACCTGATGGAGTGGAAAACAATGGAGCTTCTACTGAGAAAATTTTGGCCCACTGTGAAACCGCAATGGTCGGTGTTCGTCATGGGAAGTCATTCGATGGGATTGTGGCTAGAACGTCCTCTTTGTTGTTTGATTTTTTGAATGAAATGAACCTTGGACATTTACCTCTGTTTCCTAAAGGACAAGATAAAAAGGCTAGAATTCTTGAGTTTCTTAACAACAAAAGCGCACTAGATCAGTGCAAAAATAGTATCAACCAAACTAGTTATACTACAAGATCATGTTTCGTTAGAGTTCTTCTCCGTGCATGTAAGAAGGGCTCGTTCGAAGAGGGAGCAGTTATTTGTGCACCCAAGTCATCTGATCCTTTGCGGACTTCTAGGTGATTAATCTTTTCATTTTATTTTTTAACTCTTATCAAAAGTTTACGATCGACCTTATTTGAACAAGATTTGTTCTATTGGATGAACAACTACGTCTTTGAATTCTAAAGTCAATAAACCTTGTACTAATGGTGCCACATGATCTTGCAGGTTGGAAGATGATGAAAGCGCACTCCGAGTTCCCGAATCTGCTATAAGGCATTACTTCAAAGAGCAGTCGCCTTCAACGTGGGAACTACAACTACCAGAAGATTACATTGCTAGGGAGTCTCATAGGTGGCCAATAGGATTTGTCACCACAGGATTCGTTCATGGAAGGTTAGGATACTTGGGCTTTCTTGAATTCAACTAGACAACTTCCCGGTATGTTTAAGGCGTCGTTTTCCTTTTTGTCGTTATGATATTTTGACGTGGTTCTTGCAGCAAGAAGCCTGTTGCAGAGGGTCTTTGTGAAGCAACATTACTAGCTCGTCTTCGAGAGCAACAGTGGGACGGTATGTTTGCAAAGAAGAAGGAACAGATATATGTGCTTGTTAGGAACATGAGATCTTCAGCATACCGAGTTGCTCTTGCTACCGTTATCCTCGAGCAGCTGGAAGATGATTTAGAGTTTATGTAACTTTAAAGTTGTAATTTTAAGGCTAAGAGAAGCCATCAATTTTGATCTCCTGATGTTTATTTTAATTTTTTCTGATTTATAGTGCAAAAGTTAGGCCTCACTTCATTTATTTTTCATCTTTCTGGCTAATGTAATTACATGTTTATGAGGGAAGGGAGGATGTGGAATGGAGGAATTTTTTTCTTAGTTGTTAATTTTGAGACGTATTTTTAAAATAATATCATATCCAATTTTATGCTAAAAAATGCTCCAAAAATAATTTCGACGACTTCCAGCACGTCTTAGGAAAAAAGAATCAGCTGCAAGTGTCAGGAAATGACATATATCAGATTTAAATAATGTTGCTACTTTTTTGGAGTGGTTATATTCCTATCCTCTAATCCAAAATTCTTGGGTTCATGTCAATTTTTTTAACCAAAGTAGCAAACAATTCTATTGGACTTGGGATTGTGGGGGCAAATTGTAGACAGCACAAGGGATTGCGAGACAACTCGAGGTGGAGGTAAAAATACAAGGTACTTTGTTGCTTAATTTGACTTTTATGGAAGCTTTAACAATTTATGGATGGGTGATAGTATTAGCACTTTTATTTTAAATCAACATGGCTGCATGTCATCTCTTTTAATTAGGGATAGCAACGGGGCGGGGCCGGGAGCCATCCCCATCCTTGAAATTTTGGGGGTGGGGACGGGGCTGAGGGGGCCATCCCCATCCCCGCCCCGTTGGCAATTTTTCCCCATCCTTGCCCCGTTCTCCAATTTTGGGAGCGGGGACAGGACGGGGATTCCCTGATCGGGGACGGGTTTCCGCTCGTTATAAATATATATTTTTTTTAATTTTTTAATTAATTTTTGTTATTATTAGTATAAAAAGTGACTAAATAGAGTATTAGCTTGAGTTTTTTTAATAAAAAGTATTTATAAAATTAATATATATTAATACTATAATATAAAAAAATAGAAAAAGTAATAAAGAATTAAACGGGACGAGGATCCCCATCCCTGGGAATCTCCAACCCGATCGGGTTGGGTACCCACGGGGATCGGATCCCGCAGGTATTTTTGCCATCCCTACTTTTAATGGTGGAGAAATTTTGAAAGTATTATTTTTTAAATAAGTTTTGAATTAGTATTATTTTCAAAATAAGTTTAAATATTAGCAATATTATAAAAAGTCGGAATTAAGTCTCTCTGACATGGAATGATTTGCAGCATGTAGATTATAGAAAGCACAATAACAAATCTTCATCCATCGGAGACATATAGTCTCTAAGAGTAGCTAATAATCTGTAATTGGAATGTTAAAATACTATTTTTGTTCTATTTTAGTTTGTACGTGGTCTAAATTAGTTTTAGTCCTATATATTTTAAAAGGGAAATCGGAACAATCCCTTCATTTTGTTTTTTTAATCTCATTTCTTTTTATTAATAATTTCAAGACAACAATACACCAAATATATATTAAGGGACTACTGTTGTACTTAGAATTTATATTAATATTTTACAAACGGATATCAACATGGTGACATTTTAAACGTATGGATCAAAACGAATGTTTAGAAAATACATAGACTAAAATGAATCAAAATTGAAAGTCCTAAAATAATTTAAATAAATATTTATAAAGTATAACCAAAATGTACCCAAACTAAAAACACAGTAACCGAAATAATATTTAAACTTAATTAGAAATCCATATCCAACCTAAAGATTGAAACAAACACCACCCTATTATCTTAGAGGGAGAAGCCATGGATTTACAGAAGAAATCATTCAAAGAAATAGAGAGAGAGAGAGAAGTGGAAAGTGATGGGTGTGATTGGACAAATGGTAACCCAAACCCAGCGCTTTGCAGCCTTTTTTTCCTTTGATTTGACACTTATTGTTCAAAACTTGAAAAAGAGATTGTGATCTGTGATGTTAAATTATCATAATACCCTTTCCYTTTCTCTCTCTTCATCACATTTTCCACTGGCTCTTTTCTGCTCTCCCACTTCTCACTGTTTGTTCCTCCTCTTTTCTCTCACACTACTCATCGACTCTGGTTTCAATAACTTTTTAGGCAAGAAAATTCCACCCCATTTTACCCTTTATTTGATTTTTTTAACTTTTTAACACAAGTTTATAATCTAAATATTACATTAGTTTTGAGATGAGTTCGTAGTGTGGATCATGGTAGTAAACTTAAACTTATATCTCCCATGAACAACTGGATCGATTAAAAATCGGAAGATATTACGAGAATTTGCATTCCCTTTCACGATCTACCTCGTAGTTTTGGAGCCGTTAAGATTAATTTAAAGAGTGTCATCGTAGAAGTTTTTTTGCATTTAAACACCCTAGACAAATTTGATTGTTTATATGTTTTAGGTTACGGATCATAAACTCCTACGTTAGATATAAATAATATTGAGAACAAAAACTAGAAAGTTACTCAAATTATCTTTGGTTTAATTGCACTCACAGATTTTCAAACTTACCATTGAACCTTATCATTGATTCAGTTAAAAAGTTGGTCCAGAAAACTCCACGAAAGAACCAACATCTACCTTATCTGATTAGACAAATATTTTTATTTTATTGATCGAAAATACCTTTCACCATTGTTACTCCTGGTATCGTATCTTTGTACACCTCGCATGCTAGTTAAATTATTACACTCTTAATTTTCTAACCAAATTATTGACATAGTCCACTATTATTTACTAATTATGTAAAGTTTGAGGGTATTTTTTTAATTATTTTATTTTGGAGACCCTCTTTACAAGGCTTGTGTAAGTGTGAGATAGTGATTGAGTCATGGACTGCCACTGACTTGTCTTTTCATCTGTAAAGAAATGATCATAGATTCGCTTTATATATTACACTCTTATTATATAATGCTTAAGACCTATCAAATCTTACCTCATAATTACGCATTCTATTTCTACCTTCATAAAATACGTGGAAATCCAATATTTGATATATAAATTTTACCTCAAAACCACAACATTGTTTGATATAAAAACCCCACTAGATTGGATTATCAACTCTTAATTCACAAATACTCGTTAAAGGTTCTTCTTTTAATAACGTTTTCATTTATTATTTATTGTTTTTTTTTATTTTATTGAAAAATTTAAGCATTTAACCATTATTTATGTTTCTTATTTATCATATAAATTGAGGAAAAAAAGGTTTCTTATTTCTTGTTTTGTTTTTAATGAAATCAAAGTTTCCTTCTTTTTTTTTCAATAGAAAAGATGAAGAACGATAAATCATATTTAATTTTCTCTATTAAAAAAGAGGAAATAAAAAACAATAAAGATAAACATTACCAAATAACCCGGTAAGTTAATACAGATTTATTTTTTAAAACTTTTTTTAGATTCATTTATAATTTGAAGACATGGCTTGTCTTTAGAGTATCTTTTGACTTGTCYTTTCAAAAGATATAATTACCTCCTAGAAGATTAGATAATATTTTTCATATTACATCTCATATCATCAACCAAATATCATATTACTAATGAAATTGATCTAAGACTTAGACATTGAAGAGCTTGTTTGGACCAAGTTTGCATTATTAAGGATTTTTTTGGGGGGACAAAGGAAAATGGCAAAAAGTTTGTCCAAAATGAGCAGTGGTCGTGAGAAACATGTTCCCCGGCAAAAACGGAAACCTTAATTAACTTTCACGTCCACCTTATTCCTTCTTCTCTACGTTTAATTAAACCAAAAAAAAAGAAAAGAAAAGAAAAAAAGTGTTGTTTACAAAGGTTTCAGAGAATCCATATCTACAGCTCCATCTCTTACTTTTCTTTCCCATCTAAAAAACGCGAAAATAGTTACATTACACATGTTTACAACACTTCTTCATATCTAAATATTTGTGGTTAATTTTATCAATATAATACTTAGATGATACATTAATAATATTATTTAAAGACAGCACGTTATTCATGCAAGTTTAGGTCGAACTAGAATAATTAAACAAATGACCGGTAGAGATTTCAATTCGATCTAAAATTAAAAGTTTAAAACTTGTTAGTGTATTTTTAAAAGCACAAGCATTAGATGATTCAAAATTTAGTGGCCTATTTAAAGTTTTTTAAATACAAATCCTAAATACACACAATTTTGATAAGGGGATTGCAAATTAAATGGAGAAAAGAAAGTTGAAAAGGAGTGGGAAGGCATATGCAAATTAAAGCAATTAAATTTGGGTGGGTTTCCCATAAACAAGGGATTGGTACAGAGGGAATGTTACATGCCAACATGAAAGCAGCAACAAAAGAATATGAATTAATCCATCCATTCCCCTCTCTTCCTTTTTCCACATTTCCATCAATATTTTTAAAATTTTCCATTTCCTCTCCTCTCGCATTAAAAACTCTTCATTTATTTTCTTTCTAATTTCCCTATAAAAACCCCTCATACTAATCCTCTTCACACTCACCCCCCACCGCTTGCCATGGCGGTTCCCTTCTTCTTCTTCCTTAGAAAGCTTCTATTTTTTTTTTCCTTTCTATGTCTGAAGAATCCATGGTTGTGGATTGCTAGGGTATTTGGCTGATGGGTTAAAGTTAGAACTTCATATCTAGGTTTGGTTCAATCCTTTGCTTTGTTGGCATGAAGGCTTAGTTTTTTTCCCCTCTCTAGAAAAAGCCATGGTTGTGGCAGGCTAGGGTTTTCAGAAGAAGGGTTAATTAGAGTTTGAATTTAAAAATTTGAGCTCAAAATGCTTTTATCTCAATTGGGTTGCTTGCAAACTTTGATATTTAAACTTAGAACTTGTAAAGTTTGTAACTTTGATAGTTTGAAGTCTCTAATTTTGACCATTTCTTGGCAAGCTAGGGTTTTCAGAAAGAGGGTAAGAATTTATTTAAAACCCAAAATGCTTCTATCCAAATTGGGTTGTTTGCGAACTTTGATAGTTAATTAAAATAGTTAAATTTAATTATTTGAAGCCTCTAATTTTGGCCATTTTGGGCAAGGGATTTGGGTGGCAAAAGAGGGAGCTTTCTTCAGTCCAGCATGGGAGGTGGTGGGATTTAATTAGCTGCTGACTCATTCATCCAAATAATGAGTTTAAGAGGAAAAAGGAAACAAAAAATGCTCATTAAATGAGTGAATGATGCAGGAGACAGATTATTGAATCTTAAGCCTTCCGTTCTTGGACTGAAGGGAGCTCCCTTTCCAGTAATCCATCATCTTACTCTTCATCAAAGGTATGCTTTTTTTTTTATGATATTTAGGGGTGTGGGTGAGTCAACCCATCATTCTTCGATCGGAGATGTATATCAATTACTGATGAGTTATAATCATTTTTACATCAAAGGTACGTTTCTGGTTTCCTTTTGTTTTGAACTTCATTGTGAGTTGCATCACATTTTTTTTTGGCAGAGAACATTGGAGGAAATTAATGGCGTGATCTCTTGTAATTAAAGCTATACCATACTCAATGTTAATTGTAGGGTTATATGTTGTATGTTTAGTGTTCTTCAAGCTTGAGGAATGTGTGTTTAATAGGGCCCCTAAATCTTGTGAAGGGTTTGTTAGCTTTGAAGTGTATTATAAACTTCTTAACCTTTTTGTTTTAGTTTTATTTTTGAATTCAATAATCAATAATATGTGACTGTGAGTGTAGTACTTTTGATTTTTTTTTTTTGGATGAATGTATATATGTCTTTCATCAACTGAGTTATGGTTAGCTTTAGTTTAATCTTTGATAATCTTACACTAAATAAATTATTGAAATTTTAAAATCTGATTGTGTCTAATTAATCGATTCTAAGTTTGGATATCTTAGCACACTCGTTTGTTGGTTTGAAAATTAGTACAAGGTTCCTTTAACAATCAATGGAATGGGAGAGTTAATGACATTATATTATCATGTTAAATTATCATTTAACTAAAGAAATTCATGCTAATTGGCAACTATTAATTTGATAATTTATTGAAAATTTRGCCGTTGTTATGTTTATATTGTGGAACTTGAACTTTTGGCAGGTTTTGCTTTGATGTACAATCTCTTTGAATTAACAACCTTCATTGGAGAGCTTATTCCTATGTAATGAAATTTGTAGTTGGAGCAGCCGTAATGCAGGGCGGAGGACGGCGGCCGGAGACACGGCGGCGTGGGGGCGGTGGGTGTGGAGATTTTTATTGACAATTGGGACACGCATTACGACGAGTGGCCTTCTCTTGGGGACATTTCCCTCATGGCTGCAGCAACAAGTTCCCATACATGTCTCCTTTCCCTTCAATTACCAAATTACCCTCCCCCCTTTTTTTTCTTTTTTCTTTTTTCCCTTCAATAAAAGAAAAAAAATCAACTTTTGTAATTTTGGAAATGAATTCATTCATAGTGCTATTACGAGTGGTTGTAGATCATGCTAGTAGTTTAGAGAGTAATTAATTTTTTTTAAATACATCATTTTTTGTTTTGGGACAAGATGACATCTATTCATACTTTAAATTTTTGTTAATTTATTGAGTATTATCCTGCATAAGTTTATGAATAGTCAAAGTTAATGTTCACTTATGGTGAGATACTATTTCAACAATATGATAATAAATATGAATTAAATTGTAAAATTATCTAGATATTAAGGAAAAAGTTTCTGCAAAGTGCAAATCTTAACTATTGGTTCCAACAATAATGAAAGTATTACCGAAATAGTTGTTGTAATTTTTATTTATATTGTTTAGTTTTGAGTGAAAAAAACTTCTGTTTTTTTCTTCCCTCTAATTTCTAACACCATTATTATTTTTCTTTTTCCCACAGATAAAATTCATTTAGAACTTCATTGGATGTTACAATATTTATTTGTATTTCTTGTCGCATTGGCACTGTTATAGAAGTTCCATAATTATAGTAATTTTTCTCATTTATTAAGATTATAAAATATATTGAATATTATTTATTTTTTTCTAGCTTATAGCATGATAGTATCGGAAAGTTTTAATTAAAGAGTGAATATTCTTGTCTCGAATGATTAAATTAAACTCACAAGTAATTATCTAAAAGTGTAATTTACAGAAGTACTTATAATGCATTTTGAGTTGATTACTTTCACTACATCAAGTATTCTAAATACGATTGATTAAATTATTTTTTGGTGTCTGTCGTTGCATTTTCATGTTTTTACTTTTAGCTTTTCTATTCTAATTCTTGAAATTTGCTTCTGATTTTTGTTATTAAATTATTATATCCTACAAAATGCAAATTTTATATAGTACACAATGTATACTTGTAAAGGTTTTTATTGCTCAAATTTTATGTCAAAATAGATTTTTATGTTGCTCAAAAAACTAATTCTTTTAAAAAAGCATAGAGATTCAAAAAATATATGTATAATTTACACCATGAATAAAATTTGGTTACATATATTATTTTTATTATAGCAAGTGGGTGTCAGAAAAGATGAACACTTCACTCTAAAGGGAAAAAAACAAAGGTTAAGTACACAATCTCAAGTTAATTAATTAAAGAATCTTATGAAAAGCAAATCCTGTTTTTTCATCCCAAGATTTGGATTTATCATTTCTCTTGCTTTAATTATGTGATATGTTGATTCTTTTTTCACTTTCTTGAAAACAAAACCCTAGCTTAGTGTGTACTTGAAGGTAGAGCAAATTATAAAATATTGTTGGCAAAATATTTTAATTTGTAAATATGTCAGAGGTTTTATTTAAGTCCTCAAAATGAAAAAGATATAATATTAATCCTCTAAATTCTAAAAAAGATTCCAAATTAAATCCGTATGATTCAAATCTAAGCCATTAATTAATAATAAAAAGAGAGAATGATATGTTTTGTGGTCTATTATGATTTATGTCTCGAGTGTATTTGGGAGTGGCCAAAATCACCTTTTTCAATTCTTTTTTTCATGGATCGTGTTTGGTACATTGGGAAATTGATTTTAAGAAAGTCTAAAATCACTTTAAATTATTTTTAAAGTATCGTCAGATATGATTTTGAAAAATCAATTATACTTAAATCTCTTTTTACGAAATCATTAATTCTACTGTCACCCCCAAACACACCCTACGATTAAAATATATTGATGCCTAGCATGAAGGATGAATATGATACACACGATTTACTTATAATAAATTGAGAAAATATAACGTTAAATTCGATTTTTTCCTCAGGAAATAAATATTTCTTTTAAAATATACATTATGCACGTTGGATAGTGATTTGAAATCATACATGAAAAATAACTGAGGGACTAAAAATGTTACAAAATTAAATTTTAGCTTATAATTACAGAACTTAACATAAATATAAAATTTTATTAGGTTACCTTTTAAAACCACTTTTTAGATCGAATCTCGGGGCTTTCATACTTTCATTTAGTATAACAATTGGTACGAGGGTAAAGGGTGGATTGACACGTGTCTGAGCAATTGAGTGAGATGCGACGACCTGGCAATACAGTGAAGTTGCGGGGACGAATTAGGTTGACTTCGCCCTACCGTCACCGACTGAGTGAGGTGCGGCGACCTGGCGATGCAGTGAAGCTGTGAGGGACAAACCAATTTGACTTCGTCCTACTGTCACCATCATCGGTGTGAAGAAAATGCATCTTTGACGGACTATGGTCGGTGCCCATCACTGATATGGCCACTGAGATATGTGGTGAGAATCTCGACATTCATAATTAACTGATTATCGGGTTATGTTCGAATTCCTTTTGAGCATTCTCTAGCCACAACTAACTTATCCATTATCAGATTGCTCAATCAGTCTTGTAGGTCACATGACTCACCAAAAGGATAAGTCTGATTGTTTGGACGGATATTTTCGTGCAAGAACAATAAGTTCGAGGTGGAAGATTGAACTTTTGAACTAAAAAAAAGATAATTAGTGCTTTGTCTAAGCTATGCTTGAATTAATATTAGATTTTTGTGTTATCGATTGGTCAATACACCATATTTAACCAACAGAAAATGCAAATTTGTTTATTGCATAACCTCTTGATTGGAGATATATGTCAGCTGATCTATTTTCGTTTATTTTCGTTTTGGCCATTTAGTCTATATTTTGTTTTTTCAAAATACTTGTCATTTAATCTACCGGTCTTTTAAATTCAGTGTTTAAATTTAAGATTCATTGGAACAATTTCAATAAAAAAATATATAAAAAATATGAAGGTTTAAAAGTACATTATCCCTACCAAAAAGCCCCTCTAAATGATAAAGAAGACCCACTGGATTTACGATGCGGAAGCAAGAGGCCCAAATGGTGGAAGGCTGACCCACTGCCCTCAGCTACAGACCATTTCGAGAGCTCCAAAACCCCAATTTTTAGGGACCCCTCGCCGGGCGAAGGTCTGAAAAAAGAGCCCGACTTGGTTTTCGGTGGACGGCGCCGTGAAGAATTGGCGGCGGATTGAGTATTAGAAAGAGGAGCTCGCACCGCTCAAGGAACAAGTAGTGATTGAATTGGCAGTCAGCAGAGGAAGGAAGAAACAGGGTAATTATTATTTCTTCCCAACACAAGATTGGTGGTTAACATTCGATTTCTATTTTCTTATTCTACATATTTGATTATGGAACTGAGTTCAGAGTGTTTTCTTGCTCGTTTCTCTTTATTCTGGGCAAATGTTCATTATAACCAATCAAAATTAGTGAGAGTGGAGTCTTTTCTGGTTGTTAGTATCTTTATTGGGTTCTTTCTAGTTTCTACCACACCCTGATTTGCTGAAAGTGCCGTACTTCATTTGGATGAAGTTTTTGTGCCCTTCTCGTTTTTGGGCAACAAGTTACAGCCTTGAAACATGTTGAAATATTCTATATCTGTAATTTCATGTTGTGTTGTGTGTGCTTTTTTCCTTTTAGCTTTTTAGTGGCATTGAGCGACTTGCACATTTTTGTTTATATGATTTCGTCCAGGTTTGCATCTAGTCCTGTAAGATTCGCTTGGGGAGTCAGAAGCCTCGTTTATCCACTTGCCTCACAGTTACAATGACTGATATCACGTGAGCTAACTCTTTTCTTCCCTGGTTGAGTCTCATATGTTCCCCCGCGAAGGGTCTGCAAGAAATAAACTCTTTAATGGAAAATTGCAAAGTCCGATGTATTTTAAACAAATTTTGATTTAGAAATTTCTACTTTCAGGTCTAGGTTATGTGTGAAGAATTTGCCCAAGTACATAGACGAAGATCGCCTTCGTACCCTTTTCTCCAAAAAAGGAGAGATTACAGATGTTAAGCTCATGCGTACCAAGTATTTTTCATACCATACACATGTGTTTCTGCCTTTTGTTGTGTTATTTTGGTTCTTACAAGATATAATGTTGACATTGCTTCATAGAATTTGGTAACAGCATGCTATTTGCTTCTTGAATTTTTATTTTCAAGGGATGGTAAGAGCCGGCAATTTGCTTTCATTGGGTTTCGCATGGAACGTGAAGCTCAAGAAGCAATACGATTCTTCAACAAATCTTTTATTGATACTCACAGGATTGCTTGTGAGGTCTGTAATATTCGATGTACTTATTTCTATCTTTTATTGTAGTTTACATTATTGTTGATGTTTACATCAACTAACTAGTTGTATATATTTTCTCTTTTACTCTTTCTACACTCCAGCCAAGAAGAATGAAAACATCAAATGATTGATCAGGCATGAAACTGTTAAAATGGAATAAAGGAGTGATGTTATTTGTTTTGGGAAATTAGAGGATGTAATTATATTCAGCTATGTTTTAATTATTTATTACTATTCTTTTTTAAAACATCATTATATATTCAAGGGACAGTTTGTTCATTCATTGCATCAAGAACTCTCACGAAAAAGGTGGAAAAGTATAACTATTAGTTAGAGTTATAATGTTTTAGTTGTCACTAAGGTATGCTCTTAGCAGAAGTTAAAAGGATAGGGAACAACTGAAAGGTTTCAGGATTAGAAGAGTTTAGAAGCATGACTTCTCAAACACTTTCAGTTTGTTGATGGTTCCATCTTGTTTTGTTTCTGTAGAGATGAGTCTTTTAGGTGCATTTTAATGTCCTTTGATCCTTGAGAAGGCATCAAGCATTGGCATTAATCTAAGTGTTTCTTGGTTGACATTTACTGCGAATTGTGTTGCAAATCTGGTCATTTTGCACAGTATGTTGATTATTATTCTGTTTATGAGATTTTAGCTAGGAATATTAGCTTTTGGTTTGGGTGAACTGTTTTGCTTGCGTGAAGATAATTAATTAGACTGCATAAGTAGGGAAGAAATGTTCTCTGATACCATTAGGTGTGTAGATACATTTGTTGACTTGATTATTATTACTTAATCTTGTTTTTCTTTTTGCAGGTTGCATGGAAAGTTGGGGATCCAAAAATTCCCCGACCTTGGAGTAAGCATTCTAAAGAAAAAAAGGGCACTGAAGATGGGACGAAACTAGAAGACAATAAAAGTTCAAGTCTTTTGGGGTCTAAAGAGGGGAGAGACAATTTTAATTTGAGAATTCAAGACGATGACCCTAAAATCCAAGAGTTTCTTCAAGTGACACAACCTCGGATTAATTCAAAATTGTGGGCAAATGACAGTTTGATGGCTCTAGCAGCTGATCAAAACGGAAAAGGAAGGGAGAAACCAAGTCAAATGAAAAAGGAAGATGGAAAGAAGTTGGAGCTGGTGAATGTTGATGGAGATAATGATGAGGAAATGCAAACTGCATTGCACAATACTCATGTATCCGTTAAAAACTCTGCTCATAATGATGAAATTTCAGATATGGAATATTTTAAAAGCAGGGTGAAGAACAACTGGTCGGATTCGGATACTAGCGACGATGAAAACAACAATGAGGATGTTAAAAAAGAGGATGAATCCATAAAGAAAGAATTGGAGATACAGGATTTCAAATTGCCACCAGAAACAAAGGTCAAAGGACAGGACCATTCCAATCATTGTTATACAGGTGATTTAAACATGGAGAAATCCTCATCAACTCTAGAAGATAAGAAGGATGAAGTTCTTGAGAGTGGGCGACTTTTTGTTCGTAATCTGCCATATGCAGCAACGTAATAATCCTTTTTGCAATTGTTCAACTGTGCCTTTTCTTTTGTTTTTATTTATATTTTATTTAAACAAGTCTGCTGCACTGCTTAAAGGATTTTTTCCCCTTATTATTGTTGTGTTTGGGATATTATCATCAGTGAAGAAGAGTTAGAAGAGCACTTTAAAAAATATGGCACTGTCTCAGAGGTACACATTGTTGTTGATAAAGATACAAGACGGTCTAAAGGCATTGCTTATATCCTTTACAGTCTTCCAGACTCTGCAAAAAGGTATTTGTTTGTATGAGAATGTGTTACTGATTTACTTGCTTCTGTTTGTCTTTGTTTGTCCTGACGTATAATGTTTCTTGTGGCTCCAATGGCTGAATCGGGGATTTATAGTTAATCTCAACCTCCTCAACTATTTCTAATTGCTTCTGGGGTGTTACCTGAACACATGCCTTCCAAGACTGATCTAATTTTGAGATCTTTGGGAAAAAAATGAAACATGAAAAAACTAATATTTTATAGTGGTTTTCCTCCTCTCTTCTTTCTTGCTTTCTTTTGATCTTAAGATAATTTCAAATAAAATAACGGGAGTATGCTTGGTTATGTTCTTGTCGCTTCTTGTACATTCTTGAAACAATTGGACCTATTAAGAAAATTACTTTATTATATTGTTTACTGAAGGGCACTTGAAGAATTGGATAATTCGATTTTCCAAGGGCGATTAATGCATGTCATGCCTGCTCAGCTAAGAAAAACTTCTGAGAAAACAGAGTAAGTTCCATTAGTGTATGTTCCCAGTGCCTGGATTGCACAATTTTGAATGTTACTGCTATCCTTATTCCCCCCTCCTCATCAAATATATTTAAATTTAATGGAGAATGTGGCTCACTGGACAGGGCAGATATTTTAGGAGACCAACAAAGGTCAAAATCCTTCAAGCACAAGAGAGAGGAAGAGAGAAAAGCATCTGAAGCTAGTGGCAATACAAAAGCATGGAATAGTTTATTCATGCGCCCTGATACAGTATGACATAACCTTGTGTGTTTCTTTGTTTCTTTTTCCATTTGCTGGGGTCGATAACTTCTTTATAAGAAAGAATTACTAGATACAGGGTGATTACTGATTAGTCTTTTGCTGTCCATTCAAAAGACCTTGCAAGGAAGAGTATGAGACACATTTTTTAAGAATTGTAGATGGAATATTGAGTATACTAACATGATATGAAATATACGATTTAGCATAATAATACTTTTTGGGAGAATAATTGCAGAAAGAGCATGATTGCCTAGGTGCAGGCGCTTGCCATGGATGATCTTTGGATCTAGATGACTTGTCCGTCCTAGCCCCTTGTCCAAAATCTCATAAAAAGCATTACATTGAACAGTATTCTATTAAGAAAATTTCCTACCACCTTCATCTTTATAAAATTAAAATTTAGTTGTGAGTTTGTTGTCAGGCACCTTGATTTCTTTTGTCTACAGGTTGTTGAAAACATTGCTAGAAAATATGGTGTTAGTAAGGGTGAATTACTGGACCGGGAGGCTGATGACCTTGCTGTACGGGTTGCTTTGGGTGAGACTCAAGTAGTTGCAGAGACAAAGAAGGCCCTTACAAATGCTGGAGTAAATGTTGCATCTCTAGAGGAATTTGCTTCTGGTAAAGCTGATGGACTCAAAAGGAGCAATCATGTTCTTCTCGTGAAAAACTTGCCTTATGGTTCTTCGGAAGGAGAACTTACAAATATGTTTGGGAAATTTGGTAGTTTAGATAAGCTCATTCTTCCACCGACAAAGATATTGGCTTTGGTAATTGTTTCTATATATCTTTAAGTTAATATATCGTAGACTTAATGATTTCTCTATAACACTTGCATGATTAATATTACAATAAAAGATTTCATCTACATCCACCGTTTATGGTTTTTTCAACTGTTTTTTTTTCTTTTGAGTACATCAAACTCACAAGTCACAACTAGTCGGACATAGGTGCCTTAATCCACTGAGCTCGGATTGACATTTTTTTTTCAACTGTCAATGATAAAGTATCCTGTTACTTTAACCTTTATAATTTAATCTTTGAACTGCTTTCCTCTGTTTTGATATTCAGGTCGTTTTTCTTGAGCCATCTGTAGCCCGTGCTGCCTTCAAAGGTTTAGCATATAAGCGTTACAAGTAAGCTCATTCTCCTTTCTTATATGTTTGAAAACACCTGTGGAATTTTATGGCATGTACTTAATGGAGTTGCATTTTACATTGTAGTGCCCATCATAGGTTAAGGAATATTATGCTGTGCTGTCTTACACTTTTTAGATAGAAACTGATTGATTTTTGTGTTTTTATGTTGCATCAAGCTAAGAATATAATTAATATCCCAAATAATAATGGCATATAACAAATTTCTTAGATTTTTGAGTTCAACAATATGTGGAGTAGGGATTAAGATGCTCAGGACAATAAATTTCTTAGATTCTAATATTGTGGGAACTATACTTTCCTTAGGAATTCAACAATGGGGGAAATCTGAGATTAATTTAGGGCCTCTTTGGTAGGGATTTTGGGTTTTTATTTCTTGTGCTCTGATTAAATGGATTCAGAGAGTATTTGTTTGATAGATTTTTTTTAAAAACTATTTTTGGATTTTGTGATCTAAAAAGGTGGAAATTCTGAAAACAATATTTTTATGTTCTTAGTGTTTTCAGATTTTAAATTTGAAACTTTAGAATGCTAAATTACATTAAAAAGGAAAAAAACTTTGATAAATACACTATTTCATGTTAAAAACTCGTTTAATTAATTAATTATTTTTTGATAAGAAACACGTGTATTGAGCTGAGAAAGAAAGGCAGGCTGTCAGGGATAAGTACAACTTGATCATAGATAAACTGTAATTACAATTTGCAAAAGAATTTTCTATGATTTAAGCACCATGTAGAAGCAGTAATTTGTACACTACTACAAAATAATTCGAAGCGATGGTTGATGTTGTTAAAGACAGGTAGATTTCTGTCTCTCCAGAGGCACCAAAGAAGATCTCTAGTTGCACTACCCGGAAGAATTTTCATTTTTCCCTTAAGCAGCCACCTTTGGAAAACCTCTTGTAGCCAATCATCTACTGCCCTAGGCTTACAAGAGGAGAAACCCACCTCTTTCATAACAAATGTCCAACTTTTGTAAGCAAAAGGGCAGATTTTATTTTTTTAAAAAGTTAAAAATGTTAAACATAATATATTATCAAATTATATAATATTGTAAATAATTATATAAAATTTATAACATGTGAATAAAGTAATTAATAATATTCTATATTTAACTAAATATTTACCTGGTAGGTACTACTAGTTTAAAAATATATTACTAAAACACATGTTAGAACAATTTTTTAAATTGAGATTTAATTTTCAAATTTGCTACTAAACACATATTTGAAAACACTGAAAACGTGGAATACAACTCTGTTTTAAAAAACTCTTTGTTTTTAGATTTTTGTTTTTTTTAGATTACCAACCAAACACACTCAACATTTTAAGGTTTTATAATTGTGTGTTTGGGCGGATTAAGAGGAGAAGTATTGTTTTCATTTCTGAATTATGATGTCTTGATGGAGTATACGGGATGAAAGTTATAGCAGTATAATTGACGACGAGTTGATGTATCTTCTAGAAAAGATATTTCTGGATTTGTCTTAGCCTTCAAATTATTTTGAAATACGATAATATAGTTTTAACTCTCTTATTCTTGATGTGACATGTGAGCATGTCCACCCTTCTATTAGCAATTACTATTATCTATACTAATAGTTGGGGTTTTTCTTGCTGGAAACATAATGTTTCTTCATTGTGGCATTCACTAGGGATACTCCGTTATATTTGGAATGGGCCCCTGACAATATTCTTAGTCAAAGTCCAATGGTTGGCAATGTGAAGGATGAGAAAGTTGTTGGTGAAAATGATGCTAAGAGGGTGTTATTAGAGCAGGCAGTGGAAGGATTATTGGATGTTGAACTTGACCCCGATAGAGTTGAGGTTTGTCCTTATGGAACTTTCTCTTGTTTTTCCCTATTTCCATTGTTGTTTATCTACTGTGATGGATGATTGTTGATGGTTTTGTCTTATTGTCACATATTGAATAATTGGTGATCCCATTGTTTATCTGGTTATCGATCAAGAACATGCAATTTTTACTTCATGGTGGATGACATCCCTCATGTAATAATGGTTCCACTTTATTATCGATCTAGTTAGTTTAAATGTTAGAGAGGTGTGTTCCCTCTGTTTGTTTTTTTTTTCTTTTCAAATCGAGCTTTCATCAAGAGAAAAATAAAAGGATACAGAAAACAAACAATATGGCATACTAAAAGATAGCCTAACAAAAAGGTGTGCTCCCTTATTACATATGTCCACTCAGCATGATGCTCTTATAGTATGTCAAAAATTAGGTCACTGGCATCTCTCTTTCTCACACATGCGCACACACGTGCTGTCCGCTAATGGCTATGCTATTCCTGGCTCGACTCTAATAATGCAATTTTGAGGTGCACTTGCTCACATGAATTTTTCTTTTCAGGAAACCAACGTAATATTACTACAAAATCCAAATTGAAATGTTTTTAGAGCTCTCTTTTGCTCCTTACAAAGGAAACAAACATTGGAATTGTATCGATAAGTAAAAATATTTTGTTAGTTTTTGTGATCTTGTATAGTTTATATCTCAAATCAGAGTACTTTACACAACTTTTTTTTTTGATGAAATACTTCACATAAAATTCTCATTAAATTGGAGTCCTTTTGTTAAACCAACCCTGATCTTGGGCAAAGGGCTGCTTCTTCCCTTGGCCTTTATCAATGTTTTAGAAGGCTAAAGGCGGGCTTGAGGCTTTTTCTCTTGAAAAGGCGAGGCGTAAGCCTCAAGGCCTCAATTTTAATTAAAAGAATTAAACCAATCCTAAATTTGTGTGGTCAAGTATTACCAAACATAATAGTTATATAAAATTATCAAAATATCCACCTGTTGTCACTCAAAAAAAATTCTAAAAAAACATCATAACATCACTACTATTATCACCAATAGAACTTACTTATTCTATAAATTGTTGTCTTCAATATTTTTAAAGTCTAGGTAGTAAAAGTAGTAATAGATTGAATTGTTACAACTCCTGCTTAGGATTCCATACAAAAAAACTTGATATTTTTTAAGAATTGGAAAAATTAATAGTATTCTTGTAATCATTACACGAGGCGTATACTTTAAGCCTCAATGCGTTTTCAAAGAGGCGTAAGCCTCTTATAGTCCAAAGAAGGCGTAAGCCTTGAGGCTAAAAGTTAGAGCCTTGCCTCGAGGCGGGCCTCCAAGCGTAAGTCTCAAAAGCCTTTTAAAACATTGACGTGGTTGGCTGCTCCGGCTTAAAATACATGTTCGATGTCCAAAAAAATATAAAGGAAGACTTGAACATTCTAAAAGATAATTAAACATTTCGAATTTAAGGAAAGGTTAACAAGCATATGCAGATCATTCAGTATATGCTTTCATGAGTCTGTAATATTTATTCAGCGGAACAATGTATGTAACTTTTAAGCGTCAGCTAGTTTTGCTTGTTGCGTGTAGCATGCACACATTTTCTTTAATCTTATGAATATGGGAGCTTAGTTATCTTGTCTATCCAGTCTATTTACTTGCTTTTACTTTTAATCTATGTTTTTCAGTCACGATCTCTTTTTGTCAAGAACCTTAATTTCAAGACGACTGATGAAAGTTTGAGAAAGCATTTTAGTGAACACATGAAAGAGGGAAGAATATTGAGTGCCAAGGTAAATATCTTGATCTCAGCAATTCATTTTGTTGATCCCAGAAATTTAATTATGCAGCTTTTTTTTGGCAAAGTTCAGGTAAAGAAGCATATAAAAAAAGGACAGCAGGTCTCAATGGGTTTTGGATTTTTAGAATTTGATACAGTGGAGACTGCCACAAATGTCTGCAGCAATTTGCAGGTGATTGTTTTTTCCAAGCAACTTTTTGCACGAATATCTTCTTAGGAATAAATTATAACTCTTAATCCTTCTTTGTTTCAGGGAACCGTTCTGGATGGCCATGCCCTCATCTTGCAAATGTGTCATGTAAAGAAGGATGATCAAGTGCAAAGAAAAGTAGACAAGGAAAAGAGTTCGACAAAATTACTTGTAAGAAACGTAGCTTTCGAGGCCACGGAGAAGGATCTAAGACAGTTGTTCAGTCCGTTTGGACAGGTATTTGCTTCTCTTTGTTAATAGTTCAGCATTTTAACTTGTAGAAAGTAAAATTTGAGAGTTTTATTCTAACATCGGATGCTGTCAAAGTCTTTATGATGGATATGAGGCAAAGGCTTTTGCCTCTATATTCTTTTCATATGTGGGGATCTGTATCAGTCAACTTAAAAAATACTAATTTAGACTTTATTGCTCTTGATTTTGTAATTGTTCCTATAAAGTTAAAACCAAGTGGTAATATTCTCCTCATTAAAAGTTTTAATGAGTTTGAGGCCTCTATGAGCATAGTTCAATGGTTAAGACGTTTACTTCTTTAATGAGTTTGAGGCCACTATGAGCATAGTTCAATGGTTAAGACATTTACTTTTTTTCTTGAGATTAGAGGTTCAGATTTCCACCTCCACATTTGCTGTACATAAAATTTAAGGGGGAGTTTGACATGACTTTTTAGGTTTGGAAAAGTGATTTTAGCTAACTAAAGACGCTTTCACATATTTTCTTGTACTTGGTTGTATAAATGAAAGCAGTTTTGAAAATTCTAAACGCATTGAAAAACAACTTGAAATGCTGTTAGAGGAAGCATGCAATTTTTGGTTCAGGAAAAGGAACTTCATACCTTTAGTCTGCCCCTCTGATTTTCCAAATGTATGGAGTTTTGATGTAGTCTGACTAAAAGATTCAGGTTGAAAACCTTGGTTTTTTTGCAGAGTTCTTCTCACCATGGTTTTACCTTAATTCTTCGTTCATCTAAATGTCATACTACGCTACTTGAGGAGTTGTCAATAGCTCTTTTATTGTACTGCACGATTTTCATTTTGCTCTTCTTAATATTTATTTGCCTTTTCTCAGATTAAGAGCCTAAGACTGCCAATGAAGTTTGGAAAGCACAGGGGCTTTGCATTTGTGGAGTTTATCACAAAGCAAGAGGCACAAAATGCATTTCAAGCACTTTCAAACACCCACTTGTATGGTCGGCATCTTGTAAGTCTTCAACTCACCCTTGTGAACACACTGCATCACTTTTTACTTCATGTGGTGCTAAAGTTATAGCTGAGCCAAAATCCCGAAACAATGACACGTTTCTTTATGTTTGTGACTATCAGGTCTTAGAGAAAGCCAAGGAAGGCGAGAGCCTGGAAGAATTGAGGGCCCGAACAGCTGCTCAATTTAGCAATGATCAAGACAAGTCTCATAACTCAATTTTATCCAAGAAGAGGAAGAACATGGCTAACTTTGATGAAGACAATATGAAGTTTCAGAGGATTTCTGAGTAATCATATTTAAGGTGCGTGAGATTAGAAGATTATATGATCAATTTTGGTGTCTATTTGCTTATGAGTTGTACCATATCTTGTTTTCCAGTCCCCTTTAGTGTTATGGGAGCTGCTTCCCACATTTTTGACTGTTTATTCAACGCAGGAATCAGTTTCTTTTGTATTGTTACTGTAAAATATAGTTGGTATTATTTTTTTTTTGACAGTCGAAATGTATACATAGTTCTTTTCCATTTTATATAAATAATATAATAGGTTAATACATAGTCTATTTTTTTTGATTCACGTTTATCATTGTACCCTTTTAATGTTAGTCTTTGATGCTAAATGAAATATTTGAATAAATCAATTTTCCTTTCATTGATTCTCAATTGAATACCACCCCTAATTATAGATTTATTAGTATGCATTTTTTCTGCTTTTTTGAGTAGATGCAAATTTATCGATGAGTTATGCTTTTTTTGGCCATTTTTTTTCCTTCATTATGTGTTCGAAGTATCAAATCATTAAAATAGTAGGTAATCTCTTTTTAATCTCAGAGATCTGATTATTGCATTTTCAGAAGTAAAAATCTTAGTATAATGGTGTTGGAATGACTACTATTGTAATGTTTCACTTTCTTTAAAGTATTCAAGTGTTATAATATAATTTCTTAAAGCACTTTTGACTAAATATATGCAAGGACAATCAACTTTGTATTATTTTGTACATTTTGGGCTTAATTTTGTAGGGTTTTGCTCTTAGATTTTGCCAAAATTTTGTAACAATGGAAATGTTATTTTTGCAATTTAGGTCTATTATGAAATTCAAAACTTCTATTTTAGTCTTTATATTTTTTCTAATAAATATTTTGGTTCTCAAATTTTCAAAATGGCAATTTTATTCTCTGAAACTTGATTATGTCATTTCCAATGTTTTTCCATTTAATATTTGTGCACCTAATCTTTTGTTGCCGTAAATAATTTATGGAGCTTTCAATTCAACACATGTTCATGCTAACTTGTTAATACACATAAGTTATGTTATCTATATCTTAAATAATTGATGAAAAAATAATGGTGAGAATCAAAATAGTTTTGTATTTTTAAAGTTTTAAAGATTAAAATAGATACTTTTGAAAGTTCAAGTAATATAATAGAATAAAACTACAAGTCTATGGATTAAATTAAACATTTGGAAATTTTAGGTACCAAAATGAGATTTAAACCTATTTTTACTTATATACTTAAGATTTTTTTAATTTTTAATTTCCAACTTATATAGAACATTCTTATTCCTAATAGTATTCAAATACAAGGTACTTTTAATTGGTTTGGAGCATTTTTTACTAACAAATGTAACTCACTATCTAATTTCTAATCCACCATCAATTAGGTTAGTTTTAGATAATATAGTTTTTAAAGTAGAAATAAAAATAATATAGTTTTAGATAGAAAAAAAAAACAGACTTAAAGAAGGCACTTACTCAAAGTATTGGAAAAAACAGGATTATTTTTGTTAGATGAAAAATAGGAAAATTTTTCTTTCCATTACAAACAGTGGTGCTATAAAAGATCAAATTTCTGCATTAACTAAGGAGTCTCCTTAAAAAAAATTGAATGAGATTAAGGATATTGTGATTTTGGAGGAGATATTTCGTGGTACTGAAATTTGTTTCTCTTCCTCGTTCTATGAACAAGCAAGTTGTTTTATTGGTCAAAATGTGTCATTCTTTATCGTTTATTTGTACTTTTAGAATAGTTATTTTCTTTCGTGGATTTTGAATGTGGTGCGTGATCTCATGTAATCCGTTCTCGTATTATCTTTCATCTAAAAGAAGAGGAATTTATGCCATTATTCATGCATAGTAAACGGAATAAATTCTATGTCAAGTCAATGTATAAGTGTCAACTTATTGGCTTGACACATATTTGATTAATTTGTAGCTTGTGTTAGACACAAGAAAAATGAAAAAAGCAATGATATTAATTGATTTGATTTTAAGTGTGATTCTGAATTGCCATATGATGTGATAGGACTGGCTGTTATTAAAACATAGGAGATTTGTCATATGATAAATAATTTCTTCACTTTAGTTTTATTCTATTCGTGTATAGATTTATTTTACCTCGTCTTCACATTTTTTAAATGTTTATATAGTTTTTTAACCTAAAAATAATTATTTTAATGTTTAAAATTCAGCTTTTGAATTTTAAAAAAATATAACCTAATATTCATCCACCAAATATTCACTTCAATCAACATATGGGGTTTCGATACATATCTATGACAGTATGTAACATCCACATTATCAATTTGGAAGAATTGCTATTTTAAAATATAAACATTATAAACTTATTTTTTCAAAGTTCAAGGTATAAATACATACATTTTGAAATATAAGATCGAAAATTGAATCAAAATTTTTAAGCTTCAAACCCAAATCCTTCCTACCATAACGTTAGGAGCCTAAAAATATTATTTAAATAATTTTGTTTGATCTATCATCCAAAAAAAATCAAGACTTAACATTTTCACATCTTGCAATCTGAATATAACTCAACTAGTTGATATAACATATATCATGGACTAAGATGTATGAGGTATGAATCTCCGCTCCACATGGTGTTAAACTAAAAACACCATTTTCATATCTTGTTATTTCTAAGAATTATCATATTTTTTAATTTAAAATTAAGGATAAAAAAGAGTATTTTGAGAACTATTATGTTGTTTTATGCTTTTAATATTACTAATGCTATTATCTTGCACATATTCTCAACATTATAATTACTATTAGTATAGAACAAATGATTCAATTGATCAGGATATTACTTATCTCTTTAAAAGTTAAAAAGATTCAACTCCTCCGACTCTCTGTTCAACTAAAAAAAATGTTTGAAAATTTACTCTCAGCTCAAGATTTTATATTTGGATACCAGTTCACCAAAAAATATTTTTTCATCATTTATTCTCGTCATTGAATATGGAAACTTATTCCACTAATTAGGTAATTATCATGTAGCAACAAAGACTGAAATCAGAAATTCTTACAAGGGGCGCAAAAGTTTATATTAATTATGATTAATTATATTAAATCTTTCTACTATAAAAAGTCATGGAGAAAATTAGAAGCAAATTAAAGGAAGAGCTTTAAAATTAATTTTTTTTAATCTAAGACTAAATTGTCCTCCTCTTTTGTGTTTTTTTGTTCCTACTTTCATAGTACCAAACGATAGAATTCTCGAAATTCATGAATAACGAGTCATTAAATATCAATTTAACTAGAAAAATAGACCAACTCAATTTAGTTTAGTTTAATTTTCTTTTTGATAATTAAGTGATACATCTATTTTTTTCTTTATATTTATTACCATAATGTGGAATGGAAACCACATGCTTTGCTTTCAACTCATAAGTCATAACCCAGACAAAGTACATAGACTAGAGGCTATAAATTAAAAAATGAAAGGCAAATCTCTCAAAAAAGTTGTAATAAAAGGTCATAAATTTTATCCAAAGCCTTATCATCAGCATCATATTATTATTGTAAACCATTAATATAGTCAATAGCCATTACAAGTCAAACAAAAAAATTAAGACCACATTAGATTATGTCTGGATTCATTGTACTAGCTTTGTTTTTCTTGTCATATGCTAGTTTTAAATTAAATAAATATTATCCCCATCAATTCCAAAAAAAAAAAAAAATCAATTTGTATTCTTTCATATATACTATCATAACAAGCTGATTAATAGGATAGCTTTGATTTGAAACTAATTAGTAAAATAATAATATTTATGTATTAACTACTCACCACTATTATGTTGTTGACAATGGGGAGAGAAGAATATATATAGAGAGAGGAATATGTAAAGAAAAGACAATATTTTTTTGTCTTTTTCTTTTTGAAATAAATAACTATCAACTTTTTAATGATGGTCGATAAGAAAGATACTTAAATATTATTCTTGAGATAGTTTGGCTAAGGGACAAAAAGAGATTTAAGGCCAACATGAGAATAGCAGCGGTAATTGATACATGTATTCCTTCTTTCGAGGTTGGAAGTTCGATTTCTATATCACCAAATTATTGTACTAAAAAAAGGCTTAAATTGGAACCAATTCATGCAAGCTTATTAAAAGCATATATAAAGTGTTTCTAGAGACGATAGCAGAATAAAATGTGTGGAGAGTTTGAAAATGATACTAAATAAAATAAAAATATTTGGAAAAAAATATGCATGCCTAAAATAATAGGGAAAAAAATGTGCAAAAAACAGTGAGCAGAAAGAAAATAAGAAAATAAAATTTTAAAGCCTATTTTGGTATGCAACATGCATGGATTATTGTGTTTCTTGTTGTTTCTAGATTGGGTCGAATGAATATTTTTTTTTGACAAATTTCTGTTAGCAAAGATGTTCTTTAATTGTGTAATTTAGATACGTGTGTTCAAATGATCACCCATCAAACACATGTCTTATAACTTCATTATTTTCTTTTTTGAAAAATTTTGAACAAATTGATCAAAATAATCCAAAACCAAATATAATCTAATATTTCATGATGGATTGAGTTAGATTCGATAATTGTCTAGTAATTTCATCCTGCTTGATTGAATTTACATCCCCCTCCCCCAACTCAACCCTACGATCACTAAACCTGTGTGGCTTAAAAATACCATTTTTTGGAAGTGCGTTTTGGACACAATTCATTGGCTGCAAAATTTCAGGCTGATAATAATTTACGCAATGAAAGAGCTTTCAAGAATCTTAATAAAATTTTCTCTCACATATATTGTCCCCTCTTTTTCCTCCTCCATGTTTTTTCTGTCTGACATTATTAAATTTCTCAGTCTAAAAAAAAAAATAATACATTTTCTGAGTGGGAAATAAAAATGATGGCCATTAAATCATATTGATTTCGAGTTAGATTATTAGGAGTTTGTTCTCATTCAAATTTCCTTGAATAAATCCAATTGTTCATAGGTTTTGTTAAAACTAATTTGGTGTCCGTCAACTTGAAATTATTAATTAAAATATATCAATGAAGTATTATTCTTAATTCAATTTTAAATAGGATAATCAAGTCATTAGAATATTATACCTTATTCAAACTAGGTGTTTTCTATAACATTTTAACAGATGATTCGGACGTAACTAGAAGCAATTTAATCAAAATATAATTCATATGGTTAAATTTTGGTTGATCAACCTATCATTATTATTGATTAATTTACAACTTGAACGAAAAGAGAAAAATATTTTTAGAAGAAATGCTTTGCCAGCAATTTTTAGTGTTTCACT